AACCCCCCCCCGCCGCCGAGCATCCCGGCTCCGGCGCCGCTTGTTTACGGCGCGCGCGGAGCCGGGCGTTCACCGGAGTTTAATGAGGCATCAGCGGGAAGCGGGGGGAGCCGGGAGATGCTCCGGTTATTAATTGCTGTTATCTCTCCAGCATGGCAATTTTATAGCCAGGGAGGAGGGAGCGGGGCCGGAGAGGAGATTGCAGGGGCCAAGCGCGCTGCCGAGAGCGGCAAGGACTCGTAGCGAGTGGAAAAGGTCGGAAATCTGCTCTGGGCCCTCAGGACACATCCCGGCACTGCTCTGGTCCTGGGGCATGTGGCCTTTTGGAGGCAGCTCCCCGTTCGGCCAGTGCAGAGGTGCTGCTGGTGAATGGACCCTCATTAGGTTTCAGAGTGAACACCCTAGATTAATTCCAGGATACTACAGGCAGAGATTGGTGGGGGAGCATTATATCTATCTGGAGGGGGAAGGAAAGCTCTCTTCTGTCCCCTCCAAACCCTGCAGCCCCCAGAGAGAAAGATGCAGTTTTTTCCCTCGAGCGTGTTAACTCTGAAACCTACCAAAGGTGTGCCTACGTGCACCTGCGCTTGTGATGGGCGCAACCCCCGAGGCCACTGACCTCTCTGTCTCTCGCCTCCTCCCTGACATCTCTCAGCCCGTGTCCAAGGCCACCGCTGTCCCCTGGTCCCCAGCACATCCCTCCCAGCCTCGGAGCAGAGGACGAAGCCGAAGCAGAGATGAAAATAGCAGCGGGGCCCGGAGCGCATTATTCATCACTGGCGCCGCTTCAGCCCCGACCTGCCAGCTCGGCCGCCGGCCCGTGGGCACCACTAGCCCATGGCCACCCCGTGCTCCATGCCCTCCCGGGCCATGCAGCAGCGCTGGGATGAGATTCCCCCCTTTTTAAAGCCTTCAAGTGCCGGCTTTGCTCCACACAACGAGGTCCCTTCCCGCTTCGGCTCTCACACTCGGGAATCTCTCCATGGAGCTCGATCCCGGGAATTCCCCCCCCACAGACGGGTGGAATCGGAGCAGCAGGAGCAGGCGGGCAGGGACCTTGGAAGCAGCACTCCGAGCCTGTGTCGCTCGCTGGCGTTTTTCCCGGGAGAAATAATAATAAAAAACAGCGTGAAAGGAAAACTTTCCGTGCAGGACCCACTGACCTTCCCACTTTTTTTTCCCTCCAAGCAGCATGGGGGAGGGATGGGGGGACTTGGCTCGCTCTGTTCTCCCTAGAAATTGTTCGGTTTTGATAAAAATCATGCCAAGAGCTGCACATTTATATACGTGCACCCCTGTGTGCCCCCCTGGAACCTTAGATGCACCCAGAAAAGACACAAAAATTTCTGGGAAAGACGGGGAGCAGGAAACCTGCAGGCAGGGAAATTCCCAGAGTTTCCCTTTGGCTGAGTGTTTTCCTGGGATCAAGGCATCTCCACAAGACCCTCGGAAAGGAGCAGGAGCAGGAGGGTCTGGGGGCCTTCATGGTGTCATGAGTGGCGTTGGGGCTCAGTCGGGCAGGAGAGCGGGATGCAGGAGGGGTCCCAGTGCATTTTGTGGGGGGCAGGATGACCTGATGGCCACTTCCCAACATCCTCTAAGGAGCCTTATCCCTAGGGAACCTTCCGACGAGGGGACAGTCCAAAAGCCACCAGAGGAGCAGGGAAGGGAGACCGGGAGAACGCACGTCCCCGGCCCCCGTGCACTGCTGGTGTCACCACCGTGGGGTCTCTGCTATGGGGACAGGCACAGAAGGGACGTAAGGTCCCTGGCCCCAACGAATGTCCCAGTCCTCCTGTTCCTGCTGTCCCCAGGCTGCTTCCACCCTGGGGGCTGCAAAATGGGGTGTGGGGCTGGGGTGGCCTTGGGCAAGACCGT